CCATTCCTGCTGCATACATAGGACCTTCCTCGACTTTGAAAAAACTATTATCGGCGTTTCTGTTTTCTATTCGAGCAATTCTGGCCTCCTTTGGTGCGCTGGATGCTCGTATCTCGGAGCGGTCAATCCGAGTGTTGTCTCGTCTGATAGCAAATGCGTGAGCTTCTGGACCAATTTTCACTCCCATAATCGTCATCATCTTCAATATCGGCATAAATCCTTCATTAAAAATACACACCGCAATAAATGTTGCAATTTCAATGATCTGAGACCCAGAATGGATATGCTTTGGAGCGAAAGTCCATATCAGCGAGTTTAGAGACTCATTATTATTTTGAGTTTCTGAACCCAAACATCGAGTCAACAACTCTTCTGATGATAAACTTCGAAGGATTTGTCAACGAATGGACATGATGGAATGTAGCACAGACTATTGCAGCTGCATTGTAATGCAATTTTGAACCTGAGTCCACTTTGAGCCGTTCTTGAAATTCTAATCTCGTTGTTGTATGTAGTACACGAAAAAACGAAGAAATAGCTGAAAAGACCGTGAAAAACTCCAAAACACAATAGTCGTAATTATTATCTGTAATTACTTCTTCATCATTTGATTTCCTCAATTTTGCTGCTGATGCACTCATAGTTTTCCTCAATTTTGCTGCTGATGCACTCGTAAAACTGGTGTTTTCCTCTTCCGTAAATCAATTGCCGTGAAATATATAAATAAAAAGATAGATAGATATAACGGACCAAAAGGGCTTACTAAGAAATATAGATTCAGGTAGTCGGAGAACTCATTATGTCTTTTGTTCGATTAGTTGCAGCCCAACCGATTTGGATGCCTGCTCAGCAAAATACTTATTTCTCCGAAAATAATTAGAATTTTGTAAAATCTTCTCGTATACATATTCTTAAATAGTTAAACTGTTAAAATATGAAAAAATAAATAAAAATTGATTTATTTTATTTTCCACCAGAATACCCACTTAAGTTTCACCTTCCTCTCATAGCAATGACACTATTCTCTACCAAGTCAGCACTAATTCTCCCTTTTTTTGAAAAAAAATCACAATTACGCTTTTCATCCAGTTGTGAAACTTCGACACCTCAAATATGTAGCAACTGTCCGAACTCCTATTTTCTCCTACTACCACAGTCATGTGTTTCACCTCATATCGAACCAGACCTCAATTGACCTTTCCGGTAGATTTTATCGTACTTTTGCAGCTGTGGAACCACAATCACCCCTCCCCCGCCTCCCCCAAATCCCAACTACTCCATGATTCGAAAGTAATTTGAATTTTAGAAAATCCTCTCGTAGACCTATTCTTGAATAGTTAAACTATGAAAATATGCAAAAAATTCGAAAATGTTTTTTCTAGACCAGAATACCCCCTTAAACGTAACTCCCCAAGGGGCTCGAACACAAATAAGGAAGTAGTCAAATATGACATACAATGGGGTAGTTTGAAGTCAGAAGTCAACTGCCAGTTAGACTTTTTTGCCGTTTGAGTACACGTTGCCCAGTGTGCACCACGTGGAGGTAAGTCGATCGCACACCCCGTGGAATATATCTTCATTTATGGAGTGTTCACAGCCATGCCGGGGATGTGATAAAATTTGCGAAGTGTGAATGCTTGTTAAAGGATATGTTTGTCCAACACATTCTCTTTTGGCAATTCAAATATTCGAAGCACCTTTGCTCACAGTTATTTAGGTGTGGCTTTTATGTCAACAGATCAATCTTCGTTCAGGCTCCTCCATATCGAAATCAAACTTGGCAATATATGTTATTCTTAAATCGGGGTATTATGTAATAACAATGAAATAAGTAATCAAATGACCAAAATAATATAATATTTAATGTATTGACGATGGAAATAAAGATCTTAAGGATGTTTGTCAATTTTAAACAATGTTGTGTTGCCAACTGGAGTGTTTCCTATCCTGGTGCTCAACCAGTTACTATGGCATAGTTTGACGCCTTTCAAAACCAATTCAATGTTTCCATCAATTTTATGTTTACGTAAGAGAAGTTGGAGGAGAGTCTGAATAAGGCCAAATGATTGATGCATAATTTTTTCAAGCATTAAGGAAGGCAGTTTGCCAGAGACAATCAGCCTAATTCATTTTCTCAAAGAGTTTTATTTTAAAGCTATGTTTGATAAATATGATCAAACACTACGCGAACTATTTAACTAAATCATATCAAGTTTTGAATACAGCACGTAGTTCTTGTCTGATGATATCAATTTCGGTTATAAAATACAATTATGAAAAGCTACCAATGACGTTAATCAAATTGTGTTCCGCTCTATTCAAAAGCTAGCACGCATCAAATTGAGAGCCAAGAAATTTGTGGTAACACGTGTCAACTGTAGTGCATTTGCTTGAATTTAATTGGTTACGAAAGGGTGCGGGCATATTTTATTGATGCAGTTACTCACCACAGTCTGCCACTTTTTCATTCTAAGCGCAATCGTACACTACGCTTTCAAATTGATCTACAAACGATGCAATTTCCATCTGAGATCCGACAAATCGATCATGACCCCATCTCTAAATATGCCAATGGGTTCAATGTATTGCGACAAGAAATGACACTAATCGATTTGTCAATACTTGTAAGTGCAAATTTTCGTTGCAGATGCAACTTTTCTCATTCCAGACCAAAGACGGAACTGCTATTCCTGCCCACAAACTTGTCCTTTGTGCACAATTTCCAGGAATAAAGAACAGTATCTTACAGAGCGAACATTCAAATATCTCAAATTGGAGTCGCTTTCCAAATGAGTAGGTCATTTTTCCCGATAACATTATCAATTCGTCAGTATTGTTGCGGTAGTCATCGATTTTGCCTACACTGGTGAAATAATCATAAATGTTGAAAACGTATTGGGGATATATCTGATGGCCCACAATCTTGGTTGCAAACAGCTGATTGACTGGACAACGGAGTTCATCAAGACAAGGTTCGTTTATTGCAACCAAAATAAACATAATGCGTGTGCGTGTGTGCGTGTGTGTTAGTTTAAGTAAAGTGAAGTTCAAAAAGAAAAGAAAAAGATGAGTGGTTGGAATGGGAGTTTGTGGCAAGTGATGTAAAAACATACAACCCATCACTCATGCGCAAGAGGCAATTGTCTTGTAGACTTGATCGACTTGATTTGATGGAGGTTTGGTCAGCAGGAAATGTCACTTCGAACACGGATCTCATTGACGCATGCATACCAAGGATAGCGTGTGATTTTGAAAGATTAGCCTCCAGCCAGCCATTCTTCCATTACGTAGGTGTCGACCAACTTCAAACCTTATTGCAAAGTCCCTGGATATGTGATGGAAAAGAAACAGTGAAATTCAAGGCACTCTGCACATGGTTGCATGTGTCCCTCTTCAATGATGAACACGTTAAACTCGACAAGCATTTCCATCGTCTCCTGAAGTTGATCAACATGAAGAAATTGCCAAAAGAACTTATAATTAAAACGTCAGTTAGTGGATCGGATTTCGACTTGTCTGAAAGCGCAAGGTAAAATGTTAATCCCATTATTGAATATTTGGTTCTTTAGGATAACATTTCTGGACACATTTATGAATTCGATTGAAACGACAATTGAAAGGTACTCTCATATATATCTTTAGCATTTCATATGAAATGCATAATGCATTGCTTTGTCGTCGCAGCTCGAAATCGATAATTTGTGTTCATGGGCGTAAAAACACTTCAAGAAGTGGAGTTCTGGAGGCTATTCCTGAACCAAGTGGAGGACGAAAATTTTCTTTCCCATTAGAATTACGAGTAGGCAGCTGCTCAGTTGCTTTGGATGATTGGATCTAAATTCGATTGCTTACTCCCAATTACTCGATTTCATTCCTTGTAGGTAGTGCTTATACTCTGGGTGGCGCAAACGAGTTTGACGGCATGGACGAGTCTCAAGAGACTACATCAAGAGTGGAAAGAATCAATCCACAGAATGGTGAAGTGACCTTACTTCAACCAATGATTGAGGAGAGAGAATGTCATTCTGCAGTGGCTCGAGATCATGCAGTTCTAGTTTTTGGAGGTTTTAATACGCAAAGTGAGGCAATTTTAGACTCTTGTGAGGAATTCCTACCTGCAACCAACACGTAAGCAATTTATATGCAGTTTATACGCATTTTAAAGCATTTTGCCTACCTTGATTGTAAATACATTTTCTGAATCAAACTGAATTTGTCTGATTTCGTTTGGATAATGACTTACACTCACTTGATTGCTTTTGGCAATGCACTGATATCTGATGAGACTTTTCACTCATCGTTTGTTACATTTTGAGAGTTCTGAAAGTACTCACTCATTTGTACATCGTCATAAGTTGTAAGACATTGATGTCAGTTGGACATGGCTCAGGTATAGGTTGAATGGATGCATTTAAACTAATTATTTTTAATGGCTTTTGATGAAAATTTCCTATTATAACTGACAACTAAAGATGTTTCAAATATAGGACCGCCAGTCATTTGTTTTTTTATAGATTGACAAGATTTTAGAAGTTACGTCCATTAACATATACATATACAGATGATTAACATGTTCTGATATCAATTGCATATGCATTTTGAGGTATTTGTAAATGCATTTTCTGCATTTATGTGAGTTTGTCTGTTTTTAGTTGGAAAATGACTTGCATTCATTTCATTGCTATTGGTAATGCAATATGATGTGACTTATAGTTCTTGGAGAGTTCTGGAAAAATATTGTGTAATTTATACATCTTCATGAATAGTAAGATATTTGTATCCAAAGGACACTACTGGGTAACAGTTGACTTAGACCAAGAGATAATTAATGTGAAAGTATTCATGCTGTATTGCCTATGTGACAAAATGTCTTCTTATTTCTGACAATTGAAGGTCTTTCAAATACCGAAACAGCAGATGATGGCATGTTCAGATAAGCAAGATATTGGTAGTACTGTGCACCAGCATGTGCGCATGCAGATACTAGAAATCATCTTATTTCAAGCTTCAACTTGTAGGTCACAGGAGACGAAATAATAAGTAACACTCGTTTTTTTCACAATTTCAAAATTTAGATGGAGGAAACTGCCCCCAATGCCAACGTCTAGGTGTGCCACTGGAGCAGCACATATCCCCAGTGTTGGTGACATAATTGTTGGTGGGTTGGCACCAACTGAATTTTCAAGTGAGATAACCGACAAAGCGGAAATCTTTTTGACAACTTCATCGCCTCTTGGACATGCAGGCAGTTGGTGTGAAATCACTCCCATGCTTCATTCGAGGAAATATCCAAAAGCAGAATTTTTTAATGGAAATATATATGTCGCTGGTGATCTTTTTAATTCAACTTCTTCAGTGGAGATGTTGTCCTTATTTTCTGAGGGACCTCCCCAGTGGACCGAAGTGATCAATGCCTCCTTTACAACAGTTTCGATGATCTCTTTTAATGGGAATCTTTTATTTGGTGGTGAGTCATGTTTACTTCCATTCAAAATTAAGTGGAAATATTTTCCTTTGTTAGAAATTACTAGTTGTCCCCAACATAATTATCTTCTCTCAAACTGGGAGTTGATTAATTTGAAAATATGAGGTCATAAATAGAATTTTAAAAATTCTGTAATGCGTTTAGAAATGCTTTGACAACTGGAATAAAAACTGTTTTGTTTGCATATGATTTCTACCTTAGTAACTCAATACAACTTAATATTCATAATTTAAATATCGAGTGTCATACTTGGTTTCATATACATTACAAAGTTGAAATGAATTTTCCCTCAGGAGTGAATTCAAATGCTATCGAATTTTCTAAATCACAATTTATGTGTCTACACTGTGAGACAAATTAATGTTTATCTTGGTTTTGTTGTGGTTTTTGTTGAAGGAACTCCAGACCCCTGGTACTTTTCGCTTTGACAACTTTTGATGAATAGGAAGAATGAATAGTAGAATTAATACCAGGGAAGTTCCATTAGCATCTCTCACCAATTTTGTTCAAAAGTCACAGATAGTAGCTCAATAGACATACTCTCCGGAAATGGAGGCTCGATAAATCAAATGAGATTAATTAGTGTGCAGATGGAAGACAGCCACACTCATCCACTATGTAGTCAGCCACTGGGAACGATGATGATACAGATGCCACTCTTTACAATTACAATGCATATTTTATAAACGAGTTCATACCAGTGATGCTTTGAGCACATTGGTCAATTAGTTAAATTGAGTGTTCCAGCAATTTTTCATCACTAAAATGTGAGTGCAGATAATTGAATTTTGTTGGATTGCTTTGGAATAGGAGCATTCACCAGACTGTGCTCATTCACATTTAATGTAAAAGTAATAGTTAAATCGGCTCATATTTAACCCTCATTTTAGCTAACAAAGGAGCAATATATGAGCTGTTGGTCAACCAAGACAACGGGGTAAGTTTTATGACGTTGAAACTTTATGAAATTGATTTCCGAATTTGACTATTTTGGCTACTTTTATCTCATGAAGATTGATTATCTCGAATGATTTATTTTCAAGCCACTGATCAACAATTTAAATGTTTTTTACCTTTGGAAACGAACCGAAATTATAAAAATGACTGTAAAATGTTAACATTATGTATTTAGTTTTAAATAAATTGAACAATAAAAATTGGGAAGTAAAAATTCTTTTCCTCTCTTACTGAAGCAAAACGTTGTTTGAGAAATGGGAAAATAATAAAGGAAAGAAATATGCAAAATAATAAAGCCAACATTTTAATTATTTAAATTGAAAAATTAAATAAGATTAGTACCCTGAGTGTTCTGTGAAGGAACCTCATGCCCACTTCAACATTTATCTGTACAGAGATACCACATCACATCCACAATGAAGTTGTTCCACGTGATACGTCTGTTTTCTCTTTCTAGAGGAAAAAGCAAACTCAGAGTGAATGGAAGGAAAAATATGCGAAATGAAATACTACTCAAAACTATCTCTTAAAGTGAGAAATTAGGGTGGTGTGAACACGTTTAGAGAGGCCTTTTCTGCTTATCAGCCTTCAATATTCATTCAAGTTGCGTGGAATGCAGTTCCACTACTACGCATAGTCGATGTGAGCACAATTAGCAATCAACACATCTCTATTCGTGCGTTCTGTTGAAATGGCTTTGCTGATATCAGAAGCTGCTGCATACAAGGGCATTTTGACCAGAAATGATGGTTGGAGTCAAGGAAAGCCTTTTACATGTAGCATTCCACATTAGATACACTGTGACACTCGTTAACAGCGCAACCAAGTAGCCATTTGAATACTAGAATATATACAGAATGTGGAATCGCTCTTTTAGTTTGTAATAATGAAGGATAGCTTATTTTTAACTTTGAGCGTTGCATTGAATCATGAATGAGTAGTTGGACATCGGATAAAGCAAATTCGTTCAACTTCGATTTTTAACGCAACATTAATTGTCTATATTCTCTTGATAAAATATCCACCTCCACTATCCATCTTATAGTGGGATCGGAGTCAAACTCAATTAATGAATATACTACTCACATTAGCTTCAGTAGTACATTCAATATCAACTAGGGAAGCGAAATAGCCCTGAAGCAGATTACAAAGTGTTCTAATAATAAGCTCCTCTTTATTAATTGCTTTTCCGAACTGATTGAATACAAATATGCAATTTTGAAATGTTTGAACTCAATGTCAATTATAAATGGAATGCACTTGACAAAAAAATTAGATTTTAAAATCGCTACT